GGCCATATTGAATTAATTCGATTTAAGGAGTATAATAGGATGCCCAGGGGGCATGAGCACATTTCGTTTGTCTTTTCGGGCACTTTCCGGGACATTTTTTCTTTAAGTTTTCTTAGAATAAGATTGTAATGAGAAAAAAGATTCTTGTGCCGTGTTTGGATGTAATAATGGTCGTCTTTTTCTAGTTTAGTATTAGAAATATGGTCTTTCACTGTATATTTCTCAGGAAAAAGGCGATCATTATTACATCCAGACACGGCACAAGGATTTTTTTTCCCATTACAATCTTATTCTAAGAAAACTTTACGAAAAAATGTCCCGAAAAGTGCTCGAAATACAAATGAAATCTGCTCATGCCCCCTGGGCATCCTATAATACTCCTTAAATCGAATTAATTCAATATGGCCGCCATATTGGTAAAAAGGTCTATTGTTTCTGGGATCAGTACGAGGGACGCGCCGGTCAGCTATTGGCCAATTTTTTGTGCTGACCCCAGTAACAGACCCAGAAGTCTTTGTAAACCCATACTCGGCCAAATTTCCTTCTCATTTTTATAGTAGCAAATGAGGGGAAAATTCAAGTCTTTTTAGTCTATGCTAAAGCTTTTTTAAAAGATACTGAAGAGTTTCCTCATGCAAATATGGAATGATTTTCAGTGAGTAATAGTGAAGATAATTTGGCTGATTTTTGGCAATAATGTATATAATTCAGTGGGTTTTTGGTAATAATGAGACAAAATAATTTAGTCTTAAAATAATGTTTGTGCATGTAGATTACGATAGCTCATTATTTACCGTCAGTTTTACCTTTAATGTGCCCACATGATGTAAGTAAACTATAATGGTGATCTTTTTTACTATTCTCTCCCAACTAGAAGAGCACAGCCATACACGGAACTTAATGTTTGAAAGATAAAGAGACTGAATTGAAGGCTATATTAACACTTTACCAGATTGTTTTTTGTGCTGACACAAAAAGCTATTGGCTACAGTATGAACCCCTATCTCATATGCGACTTTTCACTCTAGGGACAGGGTTCGTATAGAGTCTTGAATTCTTGAAAAAAATCTTGAAATTAATTTGCCCAGCATTTTCCAGACCTGGAAAAAGCCTGGAAAATAGAGATCAGTCTTGAAAAAAGGTAAAGAGTCTTGAGTTTTTTTTTCAAAGCTACAAGCAGCTGGCTTTATATGTTTTTTTTCTTTTTGGTGCAATCTTATTCAGTTTCACCAATATGTTTGCAGTGCATCATGAAAAAAGCTTTGTTCCTGCGTTGTTTAGGTCTCTTTTGATCACCTATTTTGACAACCTTGAGTCTGGAAAAAGAAAAAGTCTGGAAAAGTCTTGAATTTTGGATCCAAAAATCTGTATGAATCCTGTAGGGAACAGCAGTGCATTGCAGCTACACTCCTTTGTAGAGATCACAATTCTTACGTGTGAACTAGACTACGCGTAGTCCCCCATTTTTCCTCAGGGATAGTAGAGCGAGCGAAACGCAAGCGCGTGAAAATCACCCCACGCAAGAAAAGGTGACACACGGCGGGGAGAGAGAAAAATGTGTGTGCGTGTCGCCTTTTCTCGCGTGGGTTGTTTTTCACGCGCGCTCGCGTTTTGCTTGCTCTACTATCCCTAAGGAAAAATGGGGGACTACTCGTAGTCTATATGTGAACAGAAGCCCAAAGCAATCTGGTATAGTGTGGAGATAGCCTGAGACCACAAATTATATTTATTACTGATTAATTACAACATTCAATTAAGAGATGTTCTGTTGATAGTTTCAAAACATTATTTATTGTTCATAACAAAGGGAAGAAAGGTTTTTTCTTTGCTTTCAATAAAAATGTTGCAACGCAAAGTGTCTTTGAATGATCCAGAAGCAGTACAATATATGTATGGAATGAAAAAACGAAATTTTTCTTCTCATATTAAAAATAAGCCTTTTTACAGAAATATTCAATAACAAAGGCAAAACTAAATTTTCAAAACCATTTTCATAACAATAACAAATTTTTAATAGAAAATTATGAACATGGTAATAATTATTATTTTACAATAATCAGGTCGGTTTAAGGACCTGTCAATAAAATATATTTGAGTTAATTTGTTGAAAAAATATAATAATTCGAAATATGTTTTTTCTTTGACGTAATAAAAATTCAAAAGCTAAAACTGACTTTACATGTAAAACACCAACATGTATATCAGAACCTTAAAAAGCCTTAATTAAAATAAGTAATGCACCGATAAGTGTACACAAAAGTGTATGATGTTTGATGCTATTTGTGGCTAGTCTTTACACTGTATATCCCAGATTCTTCCAAAGTACAATGATCCAACAGGCCTTGCTATTGATGAGAAAAGTGATTTATTGATGTTGATTCGAGGAAGTTCTTTCTTTAAGACCTCAATTCCCTCTGTGTTCAGGAAGCCAAAAATTTCCAAAGATTTAAGTGATTTACTCTGACTGCACAAACTGTTAAAGAGAACAAATTCATGATTTGTAAGTCAGTGAGTGGAACAAACAGAGAAGGCATTTGAACAAACAATACTGAATAAAGACAAACTCAACAAACTCAATACTGGTAGCAAAAATAACTCCTTCCTATTTCCAACACTGACTTTTCAGTTGTGCTTCTTATTATGCTGTGCAAATTGACCTTTCCACAGTTTTTTTTTCAACTTTTTTCATGGACAAGTTAGGGAAAATCTGTCGACTCCGCTGGAAGAACCCTTAAATTTTCCAAGTTTGAAAGTGATCTGTTGAAAACTAACAGAGTTAACTCCTCAAAGTTGTGAAATTTTACAGAGGTTTGTATGGGGGGGGGGGGGGGGGGGGGAAAACTTTCCCTGCGGTGGGGGGGGGGTGGGGGGGGGGGAGAAATTTTTTTTTTATGTTGTTTTTTTTGATATTTTTATTTTTGTTTTTTTGTTTTATTATTTATATATATT